AGTGTGTGAGGGATGCACAATACACGTCAGTCATGGTACAACTCACATTTCTTCAGGACTCCCATGGCCTCGGATTGAAGCCTGACGAGCCTCTTCCTCTAGGGCCTGTCTCGTAATTTTCTCTCCGCCCTCAACACCTGGTATGGATGCCTTCTCAGCGGCAGGTTGACCAAGATTCTCCGCGAGCAGTTTCTTCTTCATCAAGTATCGCTCCTTTCGTACTTGTTGGATGCCAGGGCTTTCAACCTTGTTCATGACAAAGCGAACCGCCAGCTGAGTCAGAAGGTAAAAGTGCTCCGCCAAAAGGATGCTGAGCAACCCTCCCCACGCAGTTATCTGAGACGCGGCTCCTCGCTTTTGGTCCTGCGAGCCACTGCAAAGAAACACGATGGCGGCGCTGGTTATGCTTCCTAGCCAAGCCAGGAACCCAATGGCATTGAGCCAAGGACCAATGGAGTCGGATCTCCAAGGAATTGGCCGCTTGCAGCTAATCGCAATCTTCACTCCATCGGAACGGAGCTCGACCCAATTGTTCACCAGGAAGCAACAGGCTGCTAATGGCCAAGCAACAGAGAAAAGCGACAAATAACCTAGTGAAAAGTAAGAGGGTTTATTCGTGTCACTATTTGGCCGGTGCATGACACTTACCAAATTGCATAACCATCTCCCGGTAGTCGTCTGTAACATCGTATACTTCAAGTTCACATTCGTCGCGGATCCTCCTCAAAAATTCAGCCTCTTCAGGGTGATCTTGTGCTTGCAATAGTCCATTTGATTTGAATTCCTTGGCCTTTGCAAAGGCTTTATGTTTTACATACGGAACAATGACCTCGGTTGCGAAATTGACGACCTGAGCTGTAACAGTGCAGTAGAACATCTGGCTACTGATGCGCCCGGGATCAATGCGAAACTGTTGTGTAGGAAGAGGCTTGTCACTAAAGGTAAGCGTTTGAGCGGTGCGTCGCCAAAAGTCCAGGAATGGTAGCAAGATGTTGCCAAAAGGGATATAAACAAAGCCAGTAAAGATAAGGGCCATGTATGAGGTCATGAAATTGAGTACAAACTGCTTTTGGATGAGAGCAGCTTTGTGAGCTGCAATTTCTGTTAGCCATCAGTCCACAAAGCAAAGGTCATACTGTTTGAGGCCGTACCATCAACGGTATCATAGTTTTCCTTCTCTGTCAAGGCATTGGCGGCGCTCATGAGAACAGCAGAGAAGGTAGGTGTGAATATGACCAATATCATAGTGGGCAAGAATCCCTGAATGAAAAATCATTGTTAGTTTTGTGATAGGAATAGGGGCTCCCATGTACTCACCAAATACTGCTTGCCTGGGCCGTCATAGACCTGGTTGATAAAGATCTCTAGTGAGTTCGCAATGACAACAAGGCTACCCAGAACCAGGACGCAGGCAATGGCGAAAGGAATTTGGAGCAGCTGCGTCTTGAGCCGTTTCATATACGGATAGACTTTGACAGGCTCGCCGGTTACGGCATCCTCGGCCTCATACTCCCATTCGAATTGTGTGCGAGGTAGTTGGAGTGCAGATACGCCTCGCACGCCCCAGCGTACTGCCAGGTCAACTTCCTTCTTTTTCCAGTACTCCAGGAAGACAACCGTCCAAAGACCACAGCCAAGCCCGTAGACGAAAGAAAATTGACCTAGCAGCACCCAGGCCCCCAGGCCCAAAGCGGCGGGAAAAGCCAAGAATCTAAAGTAACATCCTAAAAACGCAAAGTAAAACGCGACACTCTCTCCAAACTTGCAGCGAATATCTTCAAGGTCGCTGTCATCCAACAAGTACTTCTTGCTCCATTTCTGAATCCATGCCTTATTGAAGGGCTGGTCATGAATAGGGAAAACGTCGACTACATATTTCCATTTGGAGCTTGCCTGACTGATTCCGGCACCACCTTCATTTTCAGGTCTTGCAATGAGCTGGTAGACCAATCGTAGCCGCTCGGCTTCCATTACTGGCTCATCCTCCAAGGCCTTGGTAATATCCGAGTTGGGACCCGATGTGCGCACCCCTTGAAGCCAGTCGTGCAATCGACCACGGTAAACTTGTTGTCCTAAAAGCTCTGTGGAGGCCATTTTGACGAATACAAGCAACGAGCCAGGATCCCCATTACGTACTTCAGCAGCCAGGCCTACCTTGGTCAGAGATTTGATGAGCTGCACAAATCCTGCCTCTGCTTCGTCGCCCTCTTGACGTATGTGAGTATATAGGCGGAGAGAATATCACCATGATGAGAAGGTTCAATTGGGCGTACCTTCAGGCGGAATCTTGTAATGAAGTACATAGTCCACCCTTGAAGAAAGGTTAGCTGCAGGGTGTGGTGTCAATTTACGGCTCTTGGACGGACCCGAAATTATGTGAATCCTTCCCGTCCCCCTGTTTCCCGTACAAATCTCTTAAACTGGCCATGGTATGAGGTAAGAGTAGAAGATGGTTGGTGACTCTGAGAGCCAAGCTCTCGGGTTGTGGAACGGGGATGTGGCAATCGATTCTTAGGTAGCAAAGGACATCGATTTGGCGGAAAGTACGAAGCTCAATCTGGCTAGCGATTAGGCAGCCGCGAGATTTCGACGGGATATATGCCTGGGCGACGAAGGAGGCGAGTTTTTACAAGTTAGAAAATGCGCGCGACGTCAGGGAGCGCAGAGAGGTTTAAACTCGTCCAGCCGCGGGAAGCTCCAACATTGGATCAGGGAAAGTAACGAAGCTCCAAGGTGGCCCGTGCTTTCGGATTGCCGACCCACCTCGCTGCGCCAACGGTACTCTTCAGCTGGGCAGGGACTTGTCACTGTTCTTCCTGCAAATATTTCAAGACTGACATGTAAAGTTGGAACTCAGGCTCGGGGCTTGCCCTCCAGAAGCAGGGGCATAAATTAAATTAATTCGAGATGAATGTGAATAGTGTTTGAATATTCCAGATGGGCTGCGCAGTATGGGCGAGGTTCTTGTCGTACGTACCCAGGTACCTAGAGGTAGTAGTCCCTCCGCTGACCGAAGTACGTACAGAGACAGTGACGTCGTCTTTTGGCGGCTGGAGAGCACGTTGATCATTGATCGGGCCTGGCATAATTGCTGCACAAGTTACTCCGTACTGCACAAAAGTCTGAAAAGGCGTCAAGCCACAGGTGCACATTCCGGCCAGTCAATTGCATGTGGCTCCCTTTCCTCCAACATCCAGTCAAGCTCCAGCTTTAAGTTACTTCAGACTCAAAGTCTTTGCGCGCCGTTCAGGCCCGTTGGCACTCGACGTTTAGTTCCTCATTTCATCGTGACGACCGAATTGGCCATCCCGACGCCTAGATGGTGGCCGCTCGCCAAAGCTGCGCCTCCTGCCGTCGCCATCCATTGTCGTCTTCATCATGGGCCTCTTGGTCTGGCTCGGCCTCCGTCGCAGCAACCAGTGGGAGGGCTTGACCGTCCTGGACCACCTCATCGACTCGCCTCTTACCTTCTTCACCATCAACTTCTATCATCTTGTGTTATTTCTGAGAGGCACGCCTTTTCGCCCACCGCGGCACCAGCCATCAATACGCGTGGTGTGCATCTCGGACACGCACGACCAAGTAGTGGACGTGCCACCCGGTGATATTCTCGTCCATGCTGGCGATCTCACCAATGCGGGCACCGCCGCCGATATACAGAAACAGCTGGACTGGCTGAAGACCCTTCCCCATCCAGTCAAAATTGTCATCGCCGGTAATCACGACAGCTATTTCGACATCAGGAGCCGGTGTGATGATGACCGGAGGCGAGGTGCTAGGTTAAATCTCGACGGCCTCATCTACCTTCAAGGAGAGATTTCTGTTCATAAAATCAGAGGCAGGGAGATTTCTATATTTGGCGCCCCAGACATTCCCGAGTGTGGCCCCAAGAGCTTTGCGTAAGTCGTCCATCTATGACATGTGAGACGGGGAGCCCAACAACGGTATCCCTGTTGGTCAAGTCGTAAATCCCCCCCGCCGAGCTAACAGTGATGATTAGGTTTCAGTATTCACCCACACGGCCTCCTTGGCTAAGCAAAGTACCTCCCCAGACAGACATTTTAGTCACCCACAGCCCACCGGTAAGCTCGCAGGAGCTCATCAATGCGCAAGACGAAGCATGCTGACATCAAGGCTCGTAGAAACACCATCTAGATCTAGATCTCGGCTGTCCCCACCTATTAAGAGAAGTATGGCGTGTGAAGCCCAGACTACACGTCTTTGGACATTGCCACTGCGCCTACGGCAAAGAGTCTGTCTACTTTGACGATGTGCAATTTGCTTATGAGCGCCTCCTCTCACGGCCGAGACGCGGCTTCTTCTGGGATTTCATTCCCAATCAATCGTGGGTCGACATGTTTGAAATTATATATCACGGCATTCACAGCGTCCTGTGGAAATGGCTCATGAGCGGCCCCGGAAGCAACCAAGGCAGTCTGATGGTCAACGCCGCTCAAATGTACAAAAATTCCGGCAAGGCTGTGAGCCGAGCCGTTGTTGTAGATATCTAGACAGGGACGCATCCGCTTGGGAGGAGCGCACGTCACGTCCAACTTGCACGAGGGCGGAGGGGGCACAAAAGTTTAAATAATGGACGCAGGAATATCATGTAAATTGCATAGATTATTAGCGAGGTCCGGGAATATCAATAATCAGAGCGTGGCACACAATCCCCGTTGCCTAGTTGCCATTTCATACGTTGTTTAATTTCTTCAATCTTTATATTGATACTCTATAGACTTGTGAAGAAATGACGTACGGCCGTCCTCGTATCTCATTACGTATCAATGCAAATGAATAACTCAACTGATCGCTGTCAAGCCAATAAACAATGTCGCAGTTCGCATCTCCGTGTCGTCAGTAATTGCAACGCAAAGCAAAGCAAAGCAAAGCAGGCGGCTAGTGCGCCAAAACCTCCCATATGTAAACATCAAAACATTAAACATTGCTCTTCGATCTTGACTCTTTTTTTCTTCTTTTTTCGTTCAAATTTGCTTACATCACAACAGCATAGCCACGACCAACGTTATCAATCCCAGCATAACGCCCGGCTTCTCACTCCACGTTTTCCCAGTGCCGGCAGTGACCACTGCGGGTTTGGGAGTCTTGGCTCCATGCGAGGCCTCGGCCGGGGGAAGAGTCTCGAATCCCGAAGGCCGCACCCTGTAAGGATGTGTGATTTGTGCTGGAGGCGGCGTCGCAGGTGATGGGGGAGCATGCTGACTCTCTCCCGGGGATCCAACTGGTGCGGGCGAATCGTCCCCTGAAGACTCTGGGCCTTCAGCCTTGGTGTTCTGGGCTGGTGGAGGTGCCGGTTGAGTATGCTTTGGGTCCTGAGCAGGCACGGGAGCCTCGATGTCTGACGGCGCAGACTGATGAGGGTTGTTGGTAGCTTGGGCTGGTGGTGGTGCAGGTTGACTGTTCTTCAAGCCTTCAACGGGTACGGGAATCTCGATGTCTGATGGCACTGGCCGGCGAGCGTTGGTAGCCTGGGCCGGCGGTGCGGGTTGACTTTGCTTGGAGCCCTCGGCAGGCACAGGAACCTCGACGTCTGATGGCACAGCATGAGGAGGGTTGGGTTTCTCGGCAGATGGCGGCGAAGAAGGACGAGGAGTACAAGTCGGGCGAGTCTCTCCTTCGGTACACCCGCAGTCTTCAACCACCACCTCCATCTGGTCAACTGTCTTCGTAACCGTTTTGCCACCGACGGGAGAACCATCAGGACGCTTGTCCGTAACAAATTCGACGTTGGAGGGGGCAGCAGTCTCGAGAACACGGTCAACAGTCTTGTCACCCGCATAAGAACTACCCGGTTGTCTGTCAGGGGCGAACCCACCCTTCTCCGGGTCAGAATTCTCCCCGGTAGGAAGAGTCTCTCCACGGTCCTTGTCCCCGACAGGCTTGTTCTCTGATGGGACAGAGGTACCCTGTGTAGAAACAACGGTCTCATCAGCCACGGGCGGCCCGCTAGGGCTCTTGTCCGCAACCACATCTGCCTTTGACGCGCCAGCCGTCGCCTGTACCGGAATAACAGTTATCGTCTTGACTCGCATTGTTGTAGAATACGCAGTAAACGTATGCGTGATATTGTTTCCGGCCATGGACGGTGGAGGCGGAGGCGGCGTTTCGTCCTTTACGACTCCATACACGGTAAGAAGAATGGCCTTTTCCATGCGTGAAAGAGGGCTTCTCTTGGAGGGCACATGGAACCTCGTCGCCAGGGTGGAATTCTTCCCAGCCCCCCCAGTCGTCGAGTTTCTGAATCGCTGACCAGTAGCAGTCGACTTGCTCGCCGCGACGCCAGTTGATGAAGCAATGTTCTCGAACCGGTCGTTTGCAGGGTTGGAAGTGGTATTGGCAAGTTTTTCAGGGCTCTTTGCAAGTCCACCGCAGTATTGGACGTCGTTACCCGGGCAAGGGTGATCACAGACATCACCGTTCTTTGTGTTAGCCGCGCGGGTATCGGCATCGATTGAATCTGCGCAGAAGCATTGTGTGTCGTATACACCCGAGAACATTGAATCGCGACAGAGCTGTACGCATAGATCGATAGTCATGTCTTTGCTATCTTTGACTTTGCGGAAGCTTTTGAAGTCGTCGCTTGAGCCGTAGCAGCCTAGATATGCAAAGTCGCCCAGCTGTACGGGGTTCTTGGGCGCTGGAACCTCGCTGGGTATAGAGACAGGCGAGGACGCAGCCTGGGGCCTGGCGGCCTGGCTTGTATTTGTGATGGTGCCGCTGGGGACAGAGACGAGTGAAGAGATGGTGTGTCGGGGAACGGCGGTTGCATTCGTAGGAATGCTACGTCGAGTAGATCTCAACGAGGACGTTGCGTACAGGTGGGCGTCGGTTGTATTCGCAGAACGGCTGCTGTGAGACGACCACAACGATGACGTTGTATTAAGTCTGTAAACTGGTGTTATGCTGGTGGCTGCCTCTTCAGTAGTAGACACGTGGGATGAAGTCGCATTCACTCTGTAAACCGGTGCTGTAGTGCCGGCCGTAGCCTCCTCAGAGGTAGGCTCATGTGATGAAGTCGTATTCGCTCTGTAAATGAGCGTTGTACCAGCGGTAGCCTTCTCAGGGGTAGACTCATACGATGAAGTCGCATTCACTCTGTAAACAGGAGTTGTGTCTGCCGCAACCGCCCCAGGAACAGATTGATACGACGAAGCAGCACCCACGCCCAAAACAGAGGTCGTGTTCCGGCCCTCTACGACAGTGCGTGTAGTGCGATGCGGGCGTCTAATCGTGATAGTGGTGGTGATGGACGTCGTCCTTGTCACCCGGGTCAGGGGCTCCGTGGCAGACGCGCTCGGAGAACTCGATGAAGTCTGCACATCGGTCTTCTGGTAGGCCTCAATATACCTGACATCCCAGTACGCGTTCGCGAAAGCCTTCGGGTTATTGGCAACGTACTCGTTGCACGTGGCCGCATACTTGCCACAGCCGTCGGATTTCCCCCAAATCGCGTTGCCCCAATCGCCGCAAAAGTTCTAAGAAGCCAAGTCAGTCCAGCTGTAATTTGAGCCACTCAAGCCCCCTCCCCCCGGCGCATCAATTTCAAACTCACAATGTTTATCACCAGACTCATGTCCTTGAAGAAGTTGTCGACGTTACAGTCGCCGCCACCAAAAACCGCATCCGGCACCCCCCAACCCTTCGTATCAGGCGTCTTGTTTGTGATATCCTTGGGGATCCCACTTCTCGCAAAGTGCCAGATCTTGATGAACTCATTATCCCACTCCATGGCGTATACACCCCCGTTGGCGGCGTTGAAACCGTCCCCGTACGCAGAGGCGTCGCCCGCCGGCGAGGAATATCCACACCCGACATTATTATTTCCAACGTTGCAGTCAGTTTCGCGCTGGGCGCCCGAGAATTTGCCCCCGAGGCTCTTGCTTATGGTGCAGCCGGGTCCTGTGTGAGCGGACATGAGGTTGTTGTGCTGGTCGTTTGCACCTTCGATTATGTCAACCTCACCGCTTGTAGGCCAGTTGGGACCGTACGACCAGACTTTATTTTTTGCGCAGTTAGTTATTGGTCGTCTCTCGAGAGGGCAACGAATCTAGACTTACATGCTGGCCAGACGCCGCACTGCGAGGGAGGCATGTGTAAAAAGTCGGCAATAAAAAGGCCATGGTTAAACGCCTCCTTGCTCTCGAGCCGGATACTCGGTCGTCCTGCGGTCAGGGGGTACGTATTCGTGCTGTCGACGCCTAGTCTCACGACTCCCGTTTTTTCGTCAACAGAATACAGGCCCAGAGCCTCGGCATTCTGACGGCTCTGATAGGAAACATATCCGTGAGTGGGATCGGCGCCGTGGAACCAGTTGAATCCCGAGAGGAGGGACTCCCCGGCGTAGGAAGTGGCTAGGGCGTAGGAAGCCATGACAGCCAGGTGTAGTCAGTCACGGCTCTGTCCCAGCGGTTTCAAAATTGCTTGCTCGCTGTTCTTGAATCTGGTTCAAGTTTTCCAAAATGGTAACAAAAGGGCGTTGTGAAGGCATGAAGAATCTAGAAGGCGGGGATGGCTCAGACAGGTCACTTATATACATTGTAGATTCTGCATTGTATAATTTAGGAGGCGGGGGATTTTGCGAAGATTGTGTTTCGCCCAGATCATAATGAAGGCAATATAAGCCAGCCATTGTGGCTCGCCTTTCTTCAACTTGGGTACTCTAAACCACGAGGTTGGCAGGAGGAACTGCATTCCAAAGGCATCCAGGGACCGAATGAGTTGCCGGACTTCATTAAGAGAGGTCCCTTGAGTCGTCCAAGAGAAGGCCCCTGACTGTCTTATATATGGACGCCACAATAGCCTTTGTCTCTGCTATTCTCGGCAACGGTGCATTCCACAACCCCGGCGATGAGCTGCTTGACGCCGAAGTCAAGAGTCCACAGCCCGGGATGCCCCTGGTGGCAGGGCCACAACCTCACTCATCCAGGCGTGTGAGAATTAATCCCCGGATAGACCATGGCCATGTTCCGCCACCCTCTGTCTCTCGCTAAGCCCCTGGTCAGGTCATCTCGTTGACATCCAAGACATGTTGCGAAGCAAGTCGCATTCCAGAAACTCGAAATGGATCCACGCCATTGGTCAGGGAACTAGTTCCACATGCCGTTGCAGGGCTGCGAACAATGGCTTTTGACCAAATCCGGAAATCCCGACTTTCCAAGTTGCTGTCTCACAAATGCTTTGCCGGCTTTTTAATTATTTGTCGCCAACGTACTCCGTAGTAGTACTCGGTAATAGAGCGCGCATCTCCATTGCTCCCGCCTTCTATTTGACTGCATCTTGTGCTCATCATCATCATGCTTCTAAGTTTACATTACCCCATACCTGCGCCACAGACATTTTGCTCTCCGTCTTCCATGTCCGCTGAAGACGCCCTCGATAAGGTTTATTATTATATCATGATCCTTCGCAAGCCTTCAGTTCCGCCAAGGACGCGTTTGCCAGTAACCGCACACCTACCAATGCCGCTCTCCCACTTCCCTTTATGCTTCTCCATAAAACTCTCCTGCTTGTCGTGCGTCCCCTCGAGCCATTTGTGAATGCACGTGTAACAGTACACGACACCTGTTTGGCAGGCTGTCGGAGTGACTATGTCGTCTTGGCAGATTGGGCAATGGGAGGTATCCTTTGGAGTTGGCACCACATAGATGGGCAGCATAGAGGGCGTGGCAATCGGTGCGTCCTCGGCGGACATGATTTTATCATGGCCATTCTCCTCAGTCTTCTCAGCCTTGTCCTCTTGACCCTCAGACGACTTGGACTTCTTTGCGACCCCGTTTACAATGGGCGGCGGGAGGTCAATGTTCTCGGTTGCCTTGCGAGACAACTGCTTGGCAAAATCTGATTGGTACCACCATTCCAAGAATTTAAGTGCGAAGATGCTCATGGGCAAAAGTAGTGATAGGCTCGACATCACCTTTGAACCCAGCTCGCTTGGTGAGAAGATCGACCGTGATCCTGGTCGATTGCCAGGTTTAGGTTGGGAGAGCGCGTCGATAGCCTGGTAATCGGCACCGGTCATTCGGCGGAGTCGCGTTCCAATCAGCCACATGAGGGGGTTGTGATATTTGGTCCTGTCAAATAGGTAACCAAGATTGAAAACCAATATGGCAAAGTAGTAAGCGGCATTTACGCTCGGGTATATATTCATCAAGAACCATCGGTAATAATGCAGGATCCTGTCTTTGACGGTGGGGTTGTCCGGCATTCGAGTATAGGCCGATCCAAGCAGCGCTCTAGGCGCATTTATTTCGTAGCTTTCGTCCAGCTTACGCTTCAAATACGGCACACCAACAAGCACGGCCAGGTTCTTCCAAACGTCGCTGGTGGATAACTTCAGCGTCTCACGGACCAGGTTCGGAGCCGATATGCTCGCCCGCGGTATCTCACCCCGCAGGGCCTTTTCCCGCTTAAGCCCATAGAAGTTTTCGGTAAAGGATCCGCCTCGGGTACGCAAGTAGTGTCGCTCAACGGCGAGCATGCACAAGGCGTAGAGCTCGTCAAAGGAGTTGAGTATCCGCAGTAGGTAGCGGGGATGTCTCTGCGTCGCGACTGTGAGGAGATATCGTAATGTCGGCGGCAGCAAGCCATTGAGTTGCTGCTCGGAGAGAACTTCGAATAGCGACGGCTTGTTGTCGTCAAAAGTACCCCGAAGGGCTGTGACGAACTCCATCTAGGTTGCCCGCGGCCGTCTCCGACGCGACTTTGGCCGGATCCGGGACAGGCTTTCTATGCCCTACGCTCGAGAACGGCGGTTGTAATCGATGGCACAGAACCGTCTCGAGCTTCAGAGGTGTCGTTGATGAGATACGACGCGAAGCGTGCAGGTGTCGCGAGCGTCTGGGAAAGGGAGAAGCAGGTTGGGAGCTCCTCTGAAGCGATCACAAGCAGCCGTTTGGTGTGGGTCCAAGCCAGTCAATTGGCGGCGACGGAATTGGCCAGGATGCGCCGCTTCGTCGGGACCCGCCATGTGAAGGAGCCTCGGTAAAGTCGCGCTTACCCCAAGTTCTTTGCCCGGCTCGACTGCGGCCACGCCGTCAAGGTAGCCGGCAGACGGCACGCGGGGTTCGGGGTCAAGCAGCGCGGGGCTCGGCTCTTCTTTAGTGAGAGCTTGACCGCTGGAGTTCAAATGTTGTCAACAGGTTCCAGTAAATGCTCCTCAGCCCAGGCACCGTGCCCAGGCGCCTGGCGGCTACCTCGCAGGTCTTGCTACTCAAACCATGCTCAATGTTGCGCTAGCATAACTATTTGGCACTCCTCTCTTTTTTTTTTCGCCATTTCTCCGACAAGACTCATTCCCCGTCAATATTCCTCGATTCTACGCCATTGGAATTTTCCCCCGTGTTAATTCTTTAGTAGACTTCATTTCTATTCTGAAATCGGGACACTCCTGTACCTCGTACCTCGTATGCTTGGCTATTTCTTGACCAGCAGCATCCAAACCGCCCCAGCCTTCCTCTTTCACTCTCACAGTAACCACCACCACCATGGTTGATAAAAAGTACGAGGATCTCTACGACGACCCCTTGGAGCGAGCCAAGGCATGGCTCACCAAAGACGACGATGACCACTGGAAGGCCGGAGTAAGCACTCAGCCCGCTCGCAGACCAAGCTCCCGTTCTTGATAACCATCGCTAACAACCGGCCCCAAAGGAATGGATGTCCAAACTCCTCCCCCATCTGGCCGTCTCGGCCGCAAATCCCGATGCCCCAGCACCCTCCGTCACATTTACATTCACCTGCCTCGAGGACCACTGCAACCGCCTGGGCAACCTCCACGGCGGCGCGGCCGCCACCCTCTTCGACCTGTGCACCACCATCCCCCTGGTTCTCATCAGCAAGCCCGGGTTCTGGCAGTTCCTCGGCGTCACGCGCAACTTGAACGTGACGTATTTCAGGCCCGTGCCCAAGGGCGAAGAGGTCATCATTGAGTGCGAGGCGCTGCAGGTGGGTAAGAGGCTGGCAACCTTGAAGGGCGTCATGAAGCGGAAGCGGGACGGTGCCATTGTGAGCATTGCCGAGCACTTGAAGGCAAACATTGATCCCGAGCCAAAGGTCTGAGTAGAGCTGGCCTTGGAGTATAGATAGGCATTGGATTTGTGCATAGACTGCTAGAGACCACTTTACAACGACACGCATATGTTGCCAGCATTAATAGGTAATGTTCATTCCTCGAATGGCCACACACCCTGCCATGAAACAGACAGACATAGATGTAGACACTTCATATGTCCACATCACCATCACCTAACATACATGCTTCATTCAAATCATCGTCTGATCCATGCAATCCCGCTTGCTGTAGCTTACACGGTACCGCCGCCGTTCAGAATAATACAGTTTCTCATCAAACGAGCCCCTTCATGTAGTAAATCCCATCTCGTATTGTCAAATGAGTCCCGTAAGACCACCAGCAACGCCGTATTATTGTTGATACCCTGCATGGCTTGGAGCTCATCTGGATGTGTAATGCCTGCATACCTTAGCAAATAGTGCCTCATTTGTCGCTGGTTCTCCTCTGGGGTATTGTGCCTCGCAACATCTCCACAAGGTCCTTCTAATGCATAGCCGTAGCACCATGCCACGAGAGCAGCGAAGTAAAGTACCCACGGCCTATTCATGAGCACATCATAGCGTGTTTCGTAGAAGCCCTCAGGCCAAGGGCTAGCTGCATTCATAAACGCCGCTTCATCTGGTAGCAAGACGGAACTTAGAAACTTCAACGCGTAGAACGTAGCATGACGGGCCTTGGCAGATGGTGCCCATTGCTCCTTCACTCGTTTCTGAGCGCTACTAAATTCCTGGGCGCCAACAGTTCTTCCAAGGAGCCTTTTAGCACGGGCAAACATTTGGCAGTCAACGATATCCGCATGCATCGCCATGTGGGCTAAATGATGTAGTACCGTACGGCTGCCAAACACGATATTTGCCTCGTTTCTGGTGCTTCCTCGGCCGTAAGGGTCGCTAGAGGGCTCGCTGTCCTGAAGCTCTTTATCAAAGTCACTCTTCCAAGAGTTGTATGCTTTGGTCAACGATGCACGCCACCTATCGCGATCCTCCAGCGCCTGAATCACTCCGCCGCCGAGGACGTTAACCTGAAGATCTCGCTGTTGCATATGATACGTGACGCTCATAAGACCAGCCATGAGAGCGGTTCTACCAAATGACGTTGTCTTTACTTCCTGATGGCTCAAAGTGCGTTTGAGACCCTCGAGAAACGATATTGGCTGTATGCCTCTAGCATTGAGGCTTGCTTCGGCCCTTCCTACCTCGGAACCGCTCCTGGCTCTCCACAAAGACTCATCATAAGGCAATGGAAGTCTCATCTCGTGTGTTACCATTACGGCCGAGTGACCAAACATGGCGGCATGAGT